GGTTGAGTCATGGCAACTGGACTTCTTTTCTTTTTGGTTAGAGACGTTTTGCTACTTGTCCAAGCAGCTTCTCCAGACAAGTAGCGAACTGTCTCTAACCAAAAAGAAAAGAAGTCCAGTTGCCATGACTCAACCTCCAGACAATCCCCCCTGGATGACTGAGAATCTTCATAAACACTCACTGTAATACCATGATTATTATTGTATTATTGAATGTTCATCCTGATACATCACTGTGAGCTTAACAAATAGGATGAAATTACAGTTTATAATTATTAAAAATTAAATGATGGAAAACAGATTCAACTGTTTTTAACAGCTGTAGCAAAATTGTCAAGCAAATTTTTTATTTACCAACACATGGATTAGAAACTGAGGATTGCCAAGGGATATGTGTCCATGACAGCTAATTGTTAACTGATGGCTTCTTAATATAGAGCCATTCTCAGTCATTCTCAATAGAAAAAATACTGTAAGAAGAATGATTGTACGAAAGGCTCATTTCTTTCCCCTTTGCAGCACAAGATTATGTAGCCTAAGCCAATAGGGTTGGCATCAAAGGGGACTGCAGTTTTTGAGCAAGATAGGGGTCTGCAACATCACAGAAACAGACATTTCTGCCAGCTGGTTAATGAGGTGGGTGAAAGAATGCATCTCTTCTTTAAAGCATTTAATGTTGAGTCTTTACCTGCTCTCAACTCATATATCTTAAGCTTAAATATTTAAGTCCACAAGGTTCGAGTGATTTCTATCTAGAGGAAACTAAACCCAAATAAACGCTGCACTCCTAGAACTTCTAATCGGCTGCAGTTGTGAATTAAATGGAACTATAAATAAGAGGAGCAGGCTTTAAGAGTCCCAAAGTCGCTGGGAGTCAAGTGGCATATAAATTTAATAAGTTATTATTATTAAGTTTGGTGGATTGAGGAGTTTCATTCTTGCTGACAAGCTTGCTGCTCTGTCCTTGTGGTGTCCATTTCTGCCCCTCTTTCAATGGATCACCACCTCCAAGCCAAAAGAGGGGGATGATAGAAGGCTGTTGTGACCTACACTCAGTATGTGACGTGACTGGCTCATAATTCCCCTTTTCAGCTCTTACCGTTTCCTATTATGTTTGCCAATCCGTACAAGGAGGTCATCAGTTGTGTAATTTTTATCCCAGGGTGGGTAGAAAATGCAATGGGCAGCAGTTAATACCCAGCGATTGCTGATGAGACTAGCACCGCATACCAGCTCCTGGGGTTTCTTCTTGAAGAGCATCACTTGCCTATGATAAAATTGGAAAGGGGGAGGGCAGGAGGGAGACAACTTATTCAGGACTGGTCACTTCATAGAAATACTCTATGGGTAGAGCATGGATGGACTGCAGCTGCCAGGTATGACTTACAGATTATCTTTCCTTTGCATTGATAGGCAGTTCCTCTTACTGGCCCAGGGTCCACAAAGAGGAAAGAGGCAGAAACTGCATACCTCCTTCTACAGACTTACCATGGAGCACTGCCCACGTCAGCATCTACCCCCTTCACAATTCGGCCTTGCAGATAGGACTCCAGTAGCTCATTCTCAGTGCTATCGGAGATCTTCTTCTTCTCAAACAGGGGGCGGATGCCACAATCTGGAAATACAGCCCCATCCACTTGTGACTAACTAGTTCACAAAAGAACCTGACTTTCATAACCCAAATTTCTGCTAGGAAGAGATGACCGTGAGAAACTAGTTTCTAGGATAAGAACCATTCCTGATGGGAACTGCATGGGCAGAAATTCTCAGCCCCTCCTTATTGGAATGACTACTGGAAGATGAACTGGGATGCAGATTCTGGTCCTACCTATCCCCTAGATGACTGATGACATTAATTTAAAAGGAGTGACATCAGTGTATCATATTTATCATATTTAAATACTGGGACTGTTCTTTCCCTCTTTTAAATTAGGGCATGCAAAGAAACTATGGTTGGGCAAGGTCAAGCTACATTGATATTCCTAAGTCTGAATGATCTTGAAAATAAAGTTGCTTCCATGGTTGCTCTTTTCTCTAGATATAATGCCTTTTGGTCATTCACTTTTATAAAGCACCTACTGTACATAACATTACCATTACCTCCTTTGTCTCATTTTGCTGACAGAATGTCCGATCAGTAGAAGAGTGTCTTTGGAAACAATCCACAAAATGCAGTTAAGGTCCTGTCAAGATGTCTATATATTTAAATGTAATAGTTCTTTGCAAACAGGACAGTGTTTTCTGTCCTCTTGAGCTGGGTTAAAAGCTTCTAAATTGCCCCTTGAATAACCGGTCTGAATTCCCCAGGGTCAGTTTCTTTTCCCCAAGGGCACACCTACACATCCTTCTAAATTTGGCTTAGGGATGTTTGGCTAACCATTCCTGAAAGAGACCTCTGCAAGGTACAGCCTTTTTCTTGTTTATACCCCAGACCCATAGCCAGTGGACTTTCAATTTTGGGGGCCAAAGTTGAACTTGGGTTCTCTGCCTTCTCCCAGCAGAAACCTTGCTATTTGCTATGTAGCAAGCTCTCCGCTCTGCTCTCTACTTTCTCTGTGAGATCCAAGTGAGTCCACCCTGATGGTATTCAGTGGGGGGGCAGGCATAAAGAGCTGGCTGTTCTCCCGGGCCTTGGGCTAACATGGCTGGAGCTGCTCCTCTGGATGTTGGTGGTATATGTTCTGTGTTGTCTGCTGAATTTGCCATCTTGTTCTTTTTTTCCCTCCCAGTCTGGTTCTTCTGTTCTATGCTTTTGGTTTTATTATATTATTTTTTTATTCTGTTTATTGTACTGGGAGTCATTCAGAGTTGCTCTGGAGTTAGGCAGCGCCAAATCAAGCATTGCAGCTCCAGAGGATACAGATTATCTGGACCCCTTCCAGTCAGGTTTCAGGCCTGGATTTGGGATGGAAACGGCATTGGTCACACTCATAGATGATCTCTGGCAGGAATGGGATGGGGGTAGTGCATCCATCCTTGCTCTTCTTGACCTCTCAGTGGCTTTCGATACCATCAACCATGGTATCCTTTTGGGTCAACTTAGGGAGATGGGAGTGGGCGGTGCAGTTCTGCGCTGGTTCTGTTACTTCCTCCAAGGTCAATCCCAATTGGTGTTGACTGGGAGCAAGAGATCCAGCCCACAGCCCCTCCACTGTGGGGTATTGCAGGGTTTGGTACTCTTTCCGCTCCTTTTTAACATCTACATGAAACCACTGGGTGAGATTCAATCCAAATTGGTGTTGACTGGGAGCAAGAGATCCAGCCCACAGCCCCTCCACTGTGGGGTATTGCAGGGTTTGGTACTCTTTCCGCTCCTTTTTAACATCTACATGAAACCACTGGGTGAGATCATCCGCCACCATGGGATGAGGAATTATCAATATGTAGATGATACCCAGTTATACATCTTCATCCCAGGTGACTTGAGTGATGCCGTAACCACCCTGTCGCAGTGCCTGGAGGCTGTGGGGGGTCTGCATGGGGAACAACAGGCTTCAGCTGAACCCTGGTAAGACGGACTGGCTATGGATTGGAGGCCCCTCTGTATCAGAGAACCTGCCATCTTTGGTTGTGGATGGGATTGCACTGCCCCAAACAGACCCGGTGCATAATCTGGGGGTCCTCCTGGACTCACAACTCCTGCTCAAGGAGCAGGTGGCAGTCGTGGCCAGAAGGGCATTTGCCTACCTTCAGGTGGTATGCCAGTTATGCCTCTTCTTGGATCAGGAGGCTCTCTGGTCACTCACTCACACCCTGCAATGTGCTCTACATGGGGCTGCCCAGAAGCTACAGCTGGTTCAAAATGCAGCCATGCAGATATTAGGTGCCCCTAGGATGGCACAAGTAACACCTTTGCTGCAGGAGCTGCATTGGGTGCCAGTTTGCTTCCAGGCCCAATTCAAGGTGTTGGTTATTACCTTTAAAGCCCTACATGGCATGGGGCCAGGTTATCTGAGGAACCATCTCATCCCCATTACATCAACCCGTCCCACCCGGTCAGGCAGAGAGGGCATGTTGCAGATCCCGTCAGCAAGAGAATGTCAGCTGGTGGGGCCCAGGAAAAGAGCCTTCTCTGCCATTGCCCCCGCCCTTTGGAGTATTCTCCCCCCAAAGGTGCAGTGGGCCCCTACCCTCCAGGCTTTCCAAAAAAGTTTAAAGACCTGGCTCTGTCAGTGTGCATGGGGCGATATGGGCTCTACCCATCCCTGGGGGTGGTTAGCTCCCTGATGATGCTCCCTGGAAT